TTCCCGCGCTTCTGAGGCTTTGCTCTGGCAAAGCCTCAGAAGCCCAGGAACCCACCCGGTGCCTCTGGTCTGCTGGAGACGGTCTCCAGCAGACCAGGGACACCGGAGCAGCTTACGAACGGGGCTCTCTCGCCCCGGAGCTCGCAGGTAGCAATCCGCTACCTCGACCTCCGGGGCGAGAAAGCCCCGTTCGTAAGTCGGATCCGCGTAAGTCGGGGACTGCCTGTATATGGAAACATGTAAATGCAAAGAGTGTATGGGTACACGGAGGAATTGTTAAATTATATTTGTCTAACAACATGCAGGATTCAGAGTAACTCTGTGGAATAAAAATAGAAAAAATACTAATATTTCAAATCTTACACATTTTAAATTTCAATTTAGGTGGTGAAATATTCAACATTCAGCTTGGTGAACATTTTTCAGATTCAACACATTCAAATTACGAAAAATAATTTTCCCACTTTTTCCCCAAAAATGTGTGTCACCTCATTTTACAGAAAATGTGTACAGTCTATCAGAAAAGTCTCTCTGAAATTATGACTGCAAAAGCCCAAATCTGTAGCATTATTTCACACTGCTTCTATTTATCCACAGGGGCATTTTCCCATTGAAATTCTTAACTTTAAAAAGCTGACATGATACAAATGCTTTGTTATGTTTAAAAGGCATTTCACCTACTTCCTAGTAGAAAAGCGAAAGCTCACAATACCTGTGGTAGGCTGAACGCGATACTGCCTGGAACAACCGATGAATGTGTTCTCAACGTGAAAATGTATCTGTGGTTTGGAGAAGTCCTCACAACTACATGCCTAGACAAGAAAACAGCATTTTATTTTTATAACAGAGGTATGATAAATCAAATCTTAGATTTCATTCAGCTACTGTGACAGAAACACTCAAATCCCTGCCCTGCACTAAAATGTAAGCAGGAGTGTGCCTGTGCAGATCCACACTGAGGCCACTGACTTCAATCAGGCTCCAGATGGGTAGGAAGCCACTGAGAGGATAAAGAAAGGAAACCTGCACAACACTTTTCAAAAGACAAGCCAGGGTGCTTAAATTCATCACTCTGCTAGACACTAAGAATTGTGGACTGAATAGATACACTGGACATATGGTTTATTACAACTATCTACAATGGGGTGGCCACATTTTGTGACCCATTTAAGCCCTGGCAGGCTTCTTCCAGGGGGCTAGGGGTTTCAACCCCACGCTCCACAGGGCTGAAGCACCAAGACTCCCCTCCCCACTGGGCAGAGGCCCCTGCACTCCACTATGCTACTGCAAGGCAGAGGTTCGGCACTCCACCTCCGCAGTTTGGCAGGTAGAGAATATGGGTGAATCTCCGAGAGCTGCACTTTAACTCACAGGCACCAAATCCATGGGTGCTCCAAGGCAGGAGTCAGAGAGTGAGCGTGCAACATGATGCGAAGGCTGGCTTTGGAACAGGGAGTTTGTTTACAAACAGCAGCCGGGTGATTAAGATAGCAAAGAGTTTGTCACTAAATTAAATTAAGCATTCCTGGGCACTTCAATTCAAAGGTATGGAAACAAAGGGTAGGAATAAATGGTCCATTTTCAGAACAGAGAGAAGTAAATAAAGATGTCCACTGAAGGGCTTCTCCTGGTCTGGGATCGGTGCTGTTCAACCCATTCACAAATGGCCAGAGAGGTGGCAAAGTTTGCAGATTATACAAAATTTCTGATAGTCAAGTCTAAAACAGGCTGCAACGAAGGGTTTGCAAAGAAATGATAATGCCTAACTTAACCGTCACCCATCAAGAAAGATCTTGAGTCATTTGCAGTTGTCTGGAAGCCCTGTATTTCGAGAGCACTGCAAATTCCTAAGAATCCTTCTCACTGTGCCTATCTTCCTGAACTGTGGAACTGTCATTCTCCCCCTCAGCAGAAGTAAAAATTATCTCCAGTCATAAATGGGACAGATGCAACTGAATCACGAAAAGGGATGTAAAATCCCGTTTAACTGTTTAAACATGACATTTAACAAGTTAACCAATTAAGGGAAGCGCTAGTGCCCCTCTGCTGCAACTGGCGTGGCCCTCTGCCACAGGTAAGGGCTGCTCTGGGCATCTGGAGCAGCCCCTACCTGTGTTCTCCTCTCTCCCCCTTCTCCAGGTCCATGGCAGGCCCCACGGGGCTGGAGCAGCACTCTGCCCATGGCAGGCAGAGAGCTGCTCCAGCCCCCACCCGTTAACCAGAACTGGTAAGCATCACCAATTAACCTTTCACATCCCTATCATGTAGCTGTCCTTAACATGCATCAAAATAATACCAGGGAATCTAAATGGTAATAAGATTGCTGATTAACCAGAAAGCTAGTGAGACATAATGCCTTTTGAACTGGGACGTTTACGAAGACAGCCCATAGATGATGGCAATGATTTCAGTGGTAATGTAATTCATAACAATGTAATGTAGTTCATAATGAATTATTAAAATGATAAATTATCAATGACAGACACATTCAATAACTAAAATATGAAGAGTTTAATGAAAATAGTCCCTCCCCCCTTTAACTGTAAGAGTCGCACACAGCTGAGCCATTGTTCTCCCCTCCCCCAACAAGCTGCCCCACCACCAGCTACCCTCTCCCCCAGAACTGTAGGGTGTTAATGGGCCACTTCACCTTGAATGGTCCCTTGCAATATGCACTAGCTATTTGTGCTAAACAATCTGTTTCACCGTCCATGTTCCTGTGACACTATCTTTTCCAGATCCAAAGAAGAGCTCTGTGTAGCTCAAACCCCATTCACCAACAAAAGTTGATCCAATACATGTTAGCTCAGCCACCTTGTCACCAGAGATGACGGACTGGTTTAGCTGCTGATAGTGGAGGGGGATCACTGAAAGGTTTGCCTCCCTTCCCCCCCCCCATACCGTGAGTCATACAGTGCCTTAGTCTCAGCATTTTGGTGCTGCCTCTCCCCACAGCTGCAGCTATGCACCGGAAGAAGAGCTGGTAGCAAACCCTGGGAGAAATTGGATTGGGGAGGCTGAGGGAACATGGCCTTATGGGTCCCAGTCCCCCTCCACACCTGAACGTCACCTCTACTTATAATTCTAAAGCCGCCGAGCTCAATTGCACTTAATGTCAACTTATTCTTCATGTTTATTCATCCATATAGTCATTCATTGACCACGGCCATGATTTAATTCACCTTTTAAAACAAGGACTTTGCAGCACAGCTTGGCAAGACAGGATTCCAAAATGGCTTTCTAGATACAGATTCCATTTTGTATACAAAGAAAGAGGGATCATTTCCACCTGTGAGATTTCACAGCTACAATCCTAGCTTGTTTTTCAACAACGGTGTGGGGAAAAATTGGAATGCTATTCAGAAAAAGCGTTCCCCCACAAAACGTCACTCCTTGTGCTACACTTGGTGAGGGAGGAGAGACTTCCAGAAAAAAACAGTGACTCCCGTTCTCAGAACTACTGTTCTGGAAGATGTGCTGCTCAGATCTAGGTGTGTGTGCACAGTTGTCAAAAGTTTTGTCCTAGCAGCTTCCTGTCAGGTCAGCAACAGAGCCCATAAGAATAGCGCCAATATGGTGCTCTATATAGTCACCCTGCCGACCCATGCCAGCTACTCAGACAGCGGGGAAGGTGGGTGGGAGGGTCTGGAATGGACACGAATAAGACATCTCAAAGAACAAGAGTTACAAGGAGGAAGGTAACTGTTTTTTCTTCGAGTGATTGCTCCTATCCATTCCAGTCAGGTGGATCCCAAGCCTTATCTAGGTGGTGGGGTTAGAGTCTGGAATTGCAGACTGCAGCACTGCCTCTCCAAAGGCTGCATCCTCTTTGGACTGGTGAACAATGGCCTAGTGCAAAGTGAACATGTGTACAGAGCATCATGTCGCTGCTCTGCAATAGCACCTGAGCCAGGGCCTTGTTGAATGAGCCATGATGCTAGACGGGGTAATCTTGGAGAGAACACAGAATGTCCACATACAATCAGTGACCCAGAAGCATAGCGTTGCAATGAAACTGGGAGCCCTTTCACCCATTCTGAAACCACTACAAAGAATTGGGTTGACCATCTAAACCAGGGCTACTCAGCCACATGCAGCCCACAGGCCTTTTTTGTGGCCCGTGGTGCAGTTTGAGTTTACGCAGTGTGAAAGTAGAAAGAATTATACTGTAAGAGAAAGATGAATTGTGCTGTAATAATTGAATAAGTTGAAGGAATACTGTTTGTCTCTGAACAGGAAGAAGAAAAGTATGTTAATGTTGATTGTAGGTATGCAGATCAAGGTGCTAGCCAATTTGGGCCTGAGTTTAACAGGAAAAGGAACATTAGGTGTTAGACAGAAAGCAATTCCAGAATAATCAGGGAGATATAGCCAGGAGACTGCTGTGTGCTTGATATTGAAATGAAGATCCTTAACCACACTAATAATGTGAAGTTTTGTCACCCTTTGATCTTGTTAACTTGGCCTTTTGACTGTATAAATCAAGGGGTTTGAACCTTGTATGGTACTCACATTTTCTGAATGCATTTTAGCAGAGCTTTGCTGAAATAAACAAAAGCGGTCTAACAAATCTGTGAGTCCTGTCTGACTTTGACAATTTGGAGGGTCCACCGAGATGGCAACCGTCTTCGCTGAAGCTGTGTGATCCCTGACTGTTTTGCAGGATGACCGTGGTAGCTGGCACCTGGGCATTTGGCCCGAGCGGTTCTCTGCCAGAATGGAAAGGTGCACAACCACAGCGAAGTCTACGCCATCGAACCTGTTGGTTCCTGCTCTGTTCTGGTAGGGATCCCGGGATCTAACATCAGGACTCTGATCAGGTAATTATTTCTGTTTTGTCCGGACTGAGGACTGTCTTGTCTCTGTGTCTATCCGTCTTCCCGGTGGTGTGAGTGAGTCTGGGAGCCATCCCTGTCCGGGGACTGGCTGACCAAGGGGCTCCTGTCCCCGCGGTCTGTGTGACTGGAATCTGCACAATCGCAGCCGCACCGCACCTTGGATAAAATCCTTGGAGTGAACGCAAGGGCGATTGAGGCAGTAGCCTGTGGGCTTCTTCTGTGTGTTGCACTGGGCACCGCTCTGACGAACCCGAATTTCCTCCTTGTGTGATTGGTGTATGAAGTCCTCCTGTATGGGTAACTAGACATCTAAGCAGGGATAGTTCCCTAAAGGGACCCTGGCTCAGTTTATATATTTTAGAAAGGGTCCGGACTCCTGTAAATTTCTGGAAAAATGATCTAGATTAACTCTGGGGGGATCCCAAAGCTCAGTGGCCACTGTTAGGATCTTGGAACAAAGACCAAGTGGATGTCTTAAAAGACAAACTTGGCCTTTCCCAAAACTAAATTGGCTAGAGGAGAGGTAGATTGCTTCATGCAGTGGTGGGACGAGGCAAATCTTAAATGGACTGAATCGAAGCTCGCCTCCCTTAAAAATTCTAATAATAAGTAAAAAGCTTTATTGGAAACCTTCTCTCCCACCACCAGACCGAGCGCTTCCCTTTACCCCGTCCTCCAAGAAGACTCAGACCGCTCCCACTTGAAGCTATAAACGATTGTAAAAGGTTTTCCAAAGCCCCAGGAAAACCCTACCAAATTTGCAGAGGAATTTTGCTAGTGTGCAATGCCTATGAACCCTCTGAAGCAGACCTCCTGCAACTGTGTAAGCTACTTATAACCCCGTAAACAGCAACAAAGAAAAAAACCCAGGAAACTATCACACAGACTGAGTGATGTGTTTTTTTGTTTTGTTTTGTTTTTTTGGTTTTTTTTTGTTCGTTTGTTTTTGCAACATTCTGGTATACAGCAACCGG